AACAAGTCTGCTAAACAAAGTTTTTTCCATATTTAAAAAAATCTTTCCAGAAATTCTAGATTTGCTTTTTTTTCTTCCACCACTGCTTTTTTGGGAGAGAGGTTTGTATGAAGTTTTTAAATTCTTAGATAAACAAACTGTCATATGAGTTCAGAGGAACATCAAAAGTTGTGGCTGTGGCTGGCGCCAAAGGACCCAGCGTAGCTGGAAGCACTGCAGCATCCCTGCATCCATCCCTGCATCCAAGCCCTCAGGTCAACATCTACATCTCAGAGCTCCCATGTGACTGCAGTTCCTACTGTCTGCAGCTGGTCTTACCAAGGTAAGTCACCTAACCTCACCTGTAATATCACCCCACGTGTCTCACTATGCCACCACTCCCCTCCACCACAGACAGGCCAGCAGGCAGCTCCAGGAGGCAGGCATTGCTGTGGTTTTCCAGCACTGAAATTCAGATAATCCAAGGTGCTTAAAGTCAAGATGCTGCTTGCAAACTTCAATTACACTTTACACTTACTCCGCTGTGTGCTTGTAAAAACAGCATCACTTCAGGAAGGTTTCACTGCATGAGCACCAGGGCATTTCAATCTTTTACTATCTCAGCAAAACAGTGGGGAAGTACGATCAGTGCTTGACAGCTTGGGTAATTCAAATGCAAATGTATAAACCTTGTCAGTCATGGGTGAATCAGTCAATTAAATAAAGACATCTCCCATGACAAGGGCAATTAAATGGGTTGCTTCTCCTCTTACTGCGCAAAGATTTTCCTTAATTTCCTGTCACTTGCTGAGCCAGCCTTGGCTTTTCTGCCAGGGCTAGTGGCCCAGGTGTGACCGCTCTTACAGGCACCTCTATACCCCTTCTCCTTGCGCTGAGGAGGAGGAGGAGGAGGAGGAGAAGGAAGGCAGACCGGTGGGTGAACTCAAACTCCCTCTTTGCTGGGACGAGCTGAACAGCAGCTAAAGAAACCCGCTGCCTTGACAGAGCAGAGCAGCAGGGCAGACAGATGTCCTTCCCCTGCCAACCTCATTTACAGTCCTTCTAAAACACACAAACACGCGTACACACGCATGGACTGCTTGTTTCCTTGCTCTTGTATACTCAGCCCTGGCGCCTTATCGCTCAGGGAGGGTGCTGTAAGCACACCACTGGCCTTAACCCTCTCCTGGCTGCTCTGAGAAGTTCAATTTTAAATTCCAAGCTCGCAGGAAAATGTGTCGCGCCAACAGCTCCCACTGCTCCGGCAAATGCAGCTGGACAAGCTCCCTGCGGCCGGGGGAGTAGTCCCACAGAAAAATAAATGTCTGATATCCTTAACTCCTCTTTGCCCTTTCTCCCACACGCTCTTGAGTAATTTAACTTTGGTCTGAGGGGAACTCATGATTGCACACAGAGCACCCGGGGACCCTTTGGCTATGCCCTTCCCAACCAAGCCTACACAGGTAGGCTCATGCCTATGCAGGCAGAGCACCTTGCAGGCTCCCACTGCAGGAAAAGCTGAGATCAGCAGTTTGTCCCTCTCTTTTCCTTGAGAAAAGTTTGTATGTGAGCAGTCAACCCTCTGGATGACCACCAGCTTTTGGTGGGTCAAACCACTGAGCAGCTTTAGATGTTCTGTGGTGGGCACTGGCAATTAGCAAAGCATTTGCAGTTACCAGCAGACAAGTTTGGTATTATTAACCCTGCCTAACACATGGGAAAGTGGAAATGGAAAGAATAAAAATGTACCTCAGGAAGGCATACCCTTGTGTCCATGATGTGGGCTGGGCTATTAAAACTGGGCCCCTTGTTTTCAGAGGGTGATCCAAAACAGCTGAGATGATTTGTAAAACTGCCATAACATGTAGCATAGGTGTCTCACTGCTCTGTCGTGTACTGTATCTGCCCATCACACCTACCCACTGCCTTTCATCTTGTGTTTCTGTCGTGTACTGCTCTGTCGTGTACTGTATCTGCCCATCACACCTACCCACTGCCTTTCATCTTGTGTTTCAATGGTCACCTCTTTGGAAATGACCCTGTTGCATTCCACTCCAGTGCTTTTCTTTACACAGCAGATTTCCGATACCTGCGATGCCAGGTCTCTCTAAGCATCACCACTTCACCTTCAGTAATGCCAGCAGTTGTTCCCACTTGCTTTTGTCAATGGAAGGACACTGGAACTGAGGGGGTTTTATTATTACTTTTTGCAGAAAATGAATTCTAGACAAAAGGTCTGTGGTGCACTGACCTTTCCTTGGAGACAGTGCCATGTGATGCTGTTCACAGCAGATGAAGGAGATTTTTTCTCTCCCATGGTCTATGGCTTTCATTCATGAGAACAGGGACATTCACATGCCTCATGTGAGCATCACAGGTAGGGCTCACACCACTGAATATCACCCATCTCAAATATGGGCATCTAATCCATATTAAACAGCAAGGCTTCCTCTATACCCAAGTAGGGAAATAGGTATCCTAATGTGGTGATTTATCGTATCTCCTCTGCAGGTGTCTCTTTCCATGGACTAGGGGACGCCTTGCAGACTATCCTGGAGTGGCTTCTCACCTCAGACAGTAAAATCCAAGTGAGATGAGCCATTCCTGAGCCGCATTACCTGCTGGAGTCCTGAGTCCTCGTGTTACCCTGGTCTCCCCATCATGCTTCCCTGCAGGGCCGAGCTGCTGTTCATCCTTCGTGCAACACCATGTCTGACTTCAGAAATGGTTGACTATGGGACACCCCTGGCATCAGGCTCAGCATCTCCCTGCCCCAGGGGACACAGCAAGGGTATTGGGCTGCCAGTCCCTTCGAACACCCAAGCAGCAATCTCCATGCCAGTCACAGCTGACTCACATCTTGAAGTTTTCCCTGTACATTTTATTTTCCTAATGATTCTGACATGATTAATAATAGGATCTAGAGTTCAGGGTGACAGATTTAAGAAACTAAAGATAGACTAATGGGCTGTGAGCTGACAAAATACAGACTGTATTATTTTGTAACAAAATCATCCCAGCACTGCTGTTAATATACCAAAACATAAACTTCAGTAAACATAATAGATAAGGGTCATTTGTGGTTCAATGCACAGCATTTAAGCCTCATAGATCTAATAAAGGTAAAAGTTTTGTTGTTGTCTCCTTCTGCAGTGGACAACAGATGCATTAGAAGAGGGCAAAACAACCTGTTGGAAATGGGAACATCAAGTCTTCTCCCACATGGATGCCTATTTCCCTTATAGCCAAGTGGCACTGGAAAGTGTGGGAAAGTTTGATCACCGGTGCAGCACAATGGCTAACAGGATCCAGACAAAGCTGAAGTTGAGAATTTGAAGTCAACAAACCCCACGCTTGCCACAGCTGCTGTTTTCTGTTCTGTTCACTCACTTCAGGCAAAAAAACACTACTGATGTGCTGCTCAGTGAAAGCATTTGCAATGTTTACTTTATGGGGCACGTGATCAGAGAGCAACAAATCTCTCTAACATAATTGTCTTTAAGATGCACGTTTCTTTTCCTGATGCTCCTTAAAACAACTTACACTTCAGCTTTGGAAAGATGAGTTTCCTAGAGAAATACTTATTATTTTCCTAACATTTTCCTCATAGTAAGCAGGGGAGGTCCAGCCACCACATAAAACTCAGGAATGAAAGTGTAGGAGGTCCTTTACTAGAGGATTTGTGCACTTTCCCAACTCTTTTAGAGCAAATTGCTTGAGGACTTTTGTCTTTTGGCCTATTTGGCATCTACTATTGGGGCAAACTGTGCTATTTTTAATATGTGCACAAACATGAAGGAGTTAATAAACATATTGACCATTCTGTCTCTGAAACACTATGGAGTCATCTACTTTCATTGAAACCACCTACTGTACACTGAAATATGTCTACAAACTACCTTGAAAACTCAACAAAAATAGTCTGATGCTTTCAAGCAGGAGGTTAGGAGGAGAGACACAGAGTAGCATGCAAGGGACTTCCTAGAGCAAACCTAGTTTCAGTTCTTTGTGGCCAAGAAATACAACCCCCAGGTCTGAGCAAAACAAAACTGAAATATTTTTTTCTCATATAAGTACTTCTGTGATATTTAATAACTTTAGGATAGTAACAATGTATTCCTTCATCTCTTTCTGAAGCATCCAAATTACAAATAAAATATCCTGGCTTCTCTTATGTACATAGAAAAGCCAAAAGTCTATTAATCACTTAGAACCTTTCCAGAAAGGTAGGCTTCATCCTTCCAAATAACATTCAAATCATAATGTCTTTTGAATTTAAATCTGAATGGTCTGGGACAGTTTTCTAAAGCCTCACAGAAATCTAAAATAAAGCTAGCTTTTTAGAAGCACATCATTTGTTAAATTCAACTTGTTTTCACATATTCTAAAATAGCATAGCTGTTACATGTTATTTTTATCAAACATTATTGGAAGACAAAGTTTCTGAACCAACAGCACAGACCAGTTTTGATTGGATAAGTGGCAAATGGTTTAATCAAGGGAAATATCCTGGCTATAGCAGAAATGACAGGCTTCAGGCATCCTCATTTTAATATTTGGAACATATTTCATTAAATATTGCCTCATATGTAATTAGCCTTAAGGAAGCAAGCCACTAGAAAGAATTGATTCTAACTGCACTTTAAATTGCTGCTCCAGTGCCTTCACACTTCATGAAATATGGATCAATTATCTTTTTGGCAAATATGAACATGCTGTCTTTTAACAGAGCTTCATTAATGGTATTTTCTCTCACTGGTCTTTAGCTTGATCTGCTCTTGTTTTTCTTTTAATTAACCCAGGCTTAATTAAACTCCACAAACATTTAGTTTAGCCTAGAAAAAGTATCCAGAGTTCAGTCTGCATCCTCCTCAAGTTGTGTGCTCGTAACAACCAGAAATTAACTGAAGCTGTTCTTTTTCCCTCTATAGGTTAAAAATATACTTCTTACCTGAAAATATGCATGGATAAGCATGCATTTTATGGAGTTGTAATTGTGCAGACTTCTTTTCAAGGCTTACCTGTCAGCTGAGAGAGCAGTGAGAGTGAAGACTGACACCCCCACAGAAGTGAGCTGTATGAAGGGGATAAGTTTGCATCCAGTTCGGCCGAACAGCCACTCGTCAGCAAGGTACCTGCTGGCATCCACGGGCACACAAGTCACTAAAAGCAGCAGGTCTCCCAGGGCCAAACTGGAGATGAACAAATTAGGGACGTTTCTCATGGATTTCACAGTACAGAAAATTTTAATCAAAGTGATATTGCCTATCAGGCCTATCAAAATGATGATCCCGTAGATGGTGGGGATGGCGTAGAGGAACGCTGGGTAGAACCACTCATCATCGAGGAGGGAAAGGTTTGCACTCTGGTTCACAGAGATGTTGTAGAGAATAAAGTTATCTGTTTCTAAGTCTAGCAGAAGGCACTCTCCAGATGCCATTGTCCTACTTTCCTCTCCTCAGAAGACAGCTTTCTTCTTTGAAAATCTTCAAACAAATTTCTTGCTTTAATTGTGCTGCTGCTTTCTGGCTTTAAACAGTCAGAAGAGTTTAAAAGTCATATCGCTGCGTGACACATCTTGACAATAAACAAAGCAAAAAGCAACTGCAGCTTGGTCAACAGTACTGTTTCCATAAGGTGAAAGAAGAACATCTTTTAGAATAGTTTGAATCCCAAAACTTGCCTTTTCTTCATTGGCTTCTCTCACTGTTAGGTATTCCTCAGCTCTGGAAGTCCATTTATCAAATTCAAAGACCAGCAAGTGGGAGGCATTTTCAAAATCGAGGCTCGTTAAATTCCCAGCTTCAGGTCTGCCGAGCAGAACCAAGTCCGAAACAAGGGAATTACAAAAAGCAAGAACTTTTGGTAGTTGCTGTCACGCTGCATTGCCAAGCTCTCCCGGCTTTCAGCACCCGCGCTCGCCAGCTGGATTTAAAGCGAGGAATAAGCGGGGCTCCGCTGACGGCTCGGATCCCGTAGGCAGGATCTTCTGGACGTCAATTCTTCCCCTGCTTCCCATGATGAGAGCAGGCTTGTTTAAATGACTGCGATAATTCCGGGGGAGCCGCCGGCGAGCGCCGGAGAATGCCAGCCACCTACTGGACAATCTAATCACTGCCTGGGTAGAAGGGGAATAAAAAACGCAGCAAAATCACTGTTAACTCTTTACATGATTAAAAAAAAATAATAAAAAAATCCCAACAAAACAAAACATACAGTCTGCTCGTTTATAAGCCGTGAGATGAGGTTCATCGCCTCGCAAAAAAAAAAAAAAAAAAAAAATTGAAAAATTAGTTTGTTTCATACCGTAAATAATGTGATCAGAAAAGTAATCACACCTTCTTAAATAAGAGCACACATACTTTGTTTACACTCGAGTATTCAATTGTTCCAATGAAAGAGAATAATGATATGAAGCCAAATTCATCCCCCAGGGCAAATGAACTGAATAAAGCCAATTAAGATAAAATCAATATTAGAGTTAAGGTAGGCAAATGAGTATTATCACTATGCACCTGCAGTTAACCAGGGAAACCTGCACTCTGCACAATTTTTGTTAATGTTTTTAATTAGGAGGTAACAATAAGGAGGGACAAAGTTCACTGTTCAATGAGATCATTTCTATTTATGAGGTACTCATCATACTGGCATCTATAGGTAATGCACGTTTAGATGCAGCAGAGAGAAACTTGCTTGGCTTATAACAGTCTGAAAAAGCTCTTTCTTAGAGTTTAATTAAACTATAACTATTACTGATGCCTTACTACTTTCTAACAGATAGGCTATTTATGATTATATACAAGGACTTTCTGGACTGCAGAGGAATACAATTAATTTGGAAACCAGCCTGCAGAATTAAATGAAGCTGGAATTTACATTTCCCCTTGCAACTGCTCATTTTTGCAGGGAAAAGAATGTTTTACCAACTGCTAGAATTACTTGGAAGTGATGAGGGAGGCAATTCAAATCAGGCATTAAAGTATGATCACTGGCTTCTAGATAAAGGAAGCATTTCAGGACACAATCTGGAAAATCTCCAGGCACTCGGGAACCATGTTCCAGGGTGGGATTGTAAGCGGGAGACTTCAGTAGCTGTTTTTCTGCCTCGTTCTTGTGACCTGGGTCAGTGTTTTCAGCTGTTTTGCCACTGTTCACTCTAAGTCAACAAAGGACTTATGTGTACCCTTAACTTTAAGTAGGGCTCCTTACATTTTTTTTTTTCAAGGCAAACACCCAAGAGAGTGCTGTCCTGAGAACTCAAGGGAACAGAGGAGAAGCCAAATTTTCCGGCATTCCTTTCCTTCAAAAGCCTGCTTTTAAAAATAGAATTGAGGTTGCCCCCTTTAAAAGCAGAGGACACAGGGGTACTGTGGACAATCTGATCAGGGTACACAGGTGAAAGTGTTTCGGTGGGTCTGGGCCAGCTCTGTGCAAGGCTGCCGTGTTGGGTAGAGGCCAGCCGGAGGCAGTGCCATGTTTGGCTCAACAGGGCTTGCGCTCAACGGGGCTTGCCAAAGGCATGGAGAAGCACTGTGGAGCTACAGAAGCAGTCCAGCCACACCACGTGGTGAGACACCTCTCCCAGAAGATTCCCCAGGATATTTGGGAGTTTGGTCAGAGGGGCTGCCATGACAAAGGGACAAGACACTTCCACCCCTTTGCTTTCTGAGCTTTGGGGTAAAGTGGAAAGGACATTGCTGGAAGCAAGAGGAACAACAGCCTGGTCAGCAGTTAGCAGTAACCTGCTCTGAGCAGGAGGTAGGACCAGAGATCTCATGTGATTCCTTCCTGTTTAAATGACTTGGTGACTCTGGCATTTTTAAACCTACCAATCAGAGACATAACAGGTCTAGCACTCATCATGAACCTTTATTCTTCCAGATAGATAACAGAATGGTCTCTTTGCCAAAAACGCGCTAATAGACCCACTAAGTCATCATTCCCTTCCCTTCCCTTCCCTTCCCTTCCCTTCTCCTAAGGAGGATAATCTAAACTTAGTTTAGATCATTAAAACATTCACGTTATATCAGACTTAATAGACTCTGTTGGGGTACATAACTACCATCAACATGGAGGACACAGGTTCTATTCACAATTGCCTAGCCTACTAAGTTTCCCAGAGGTAACTTAGAAATGTTGAGGGTGTTTCCAAGAGACGTTTTTGTCTTGTCACAAGTTGCATATGAGAGGTTTTGTTTAATACAAATGGCGTACCTTTTTCCTCATGTCACTCTAGCATTTATCTTCCCTCAGCAGGCAAAATGAGCATGTGTATGAGGACAGCCACCTCCGCTGTAGTGTTCATTTCAAGCTCCCAAGCCTTCCTCCAAAGGAACGCAAGCATCAATACCCAATATTTTGCCAGTGGGGTAACCTTCATGCATGCACAAAAGAAAGAAGTGACTGGCACAAAATTGCTTAACAGGCTGTTGGCAGAGTTGTGAATAGAATAACGCAGGTCTCCTGAGCCTGGTCCTGCATTATAATGGTTTTCTGTTGGACAATGAGAGATTCCACAGATTCTTTCAATAGATGCTTTTTTTTTCATCTCTCAACCTTTATCCAGCCTCTAAATGACAGCTGCAATGAGACAATCTTCTTACTCCTTAATTGTGCACAATGGGGGAAACTTGTAAAAGAGCTCGATGGGTAAAATTTTCAAAAGCAGTTAGACCTGTTTGAAAGGTAATGAAATTTAGGCTCCTACATTGCTCATGAGCTCACCACCCAGAAATTGAGCCAGAGTTTCAAACAAATGCGATCTGCACTGAGAAAAGTACATGGGGGCCCGTTTTTCAAAGGCACTTGGAGAGCTGCAGCTGCCACGGTGACAGCTACAGGCAGATTTTCAAAGAGCCCAAACGCCCAATGTACCAAGGTCTTTTGAAAGACACTGATCATTTATTCTACATACCTAAATGGACCTCTTTTGAAAATCTAGTGCAACAGGGGGTTTCGGAGCCCCTGTGAGGTCCCATGGGAGATGCTCTAGTGATGGGAGCCAGAGGATGCGGCTGCAGCCACCTTCAGACCCTGCCATCTGGGAGCCAGAGGATGCGGCTGCAGCCACCTGCAGACCCTGAGGCTGGCTAAGGCTGGCACAGCCATTGTCTTGGAGGGCAGGAGCACACCAGCTGCACCAGGGTCGCAAAACATAGAATCATAGAATCATAGAATCATAGAATGGTTTGGGTTGGAAGGGACCTCAAAGATCATCTAGTTCCAACCCCCCTGCCATGGGCAGGGACACCTCCCACTAGAGCAGGTTGCTCAAGGCCACATCCAGCCTGGCCTTGAACAGCATCCATATAGCATCCTCCACACCAGGTACCTTCAGCACCCAAGGGACAGGGGTCAATGGGGACCATCTCCCAGAGAGCATGGCATTTTGCCAAGGGGGTCACCTTTGTTATCTTGCCACAATATGACTTTACTTTGTAGTGGCCTCTTGCATATCTCCTCGCAGGAGATGGATAAACTCCCTTCCACAGTCAAGCATAAGGAGAGAAGTCTCTGTGCTCAGGACTCTGCTGTTTCCTGATAAGTGGATTACTGGGGCTAGGAGTCAGTGACCAGGGATTGCTCCCTGCTAAGCTTGTGGAATGCAACATTCGCTGTTTTACCAAATATTCTCTTTCCACAAACTGTTCATCTGCCAAAGGGAACAAAGTGGTGGGAAGCATCCTGCCTATGATCTGTTCAAGGAAATTCTTTATTTTTATTGCTGTCACCCCTACCTGCTCACATCACGCTCAGTGTCTCAGTTTGCTACTCCTTTTCAGCCACCAAAATGAACAATAAATGTTCACAAAAGGGTAATTTTCTAACCCAGGCCATTCCAGGGATTTGAATTACAGCAGAGCTTTACAGACAGTTAATTACATTAAAGGTTTTTCTTTGGTTGAGTTTCAGGCTCATACCTGCATGACTGTAGGTCAGAGGAGCCAGGGAGGGAACTGAATATCACTCACAGTGTAAAAGTCCCCTGAGTCAATACTGTGTGCTGGTTTCTTGCATGTGTAAAAATGGAAATAAAGCATTGTCAAGTTTTCTCCTTCATCGCGCAGCCTTTCTGATGCACAGCCTGTACTGCAAATGAACACGCAGGCCACACGATGTGAAGCACCCCCACTGTGCCTTCGAAAATAGCCTATTCATCCTAAATTAGACAAATCCTTCAGTTTGTTATTGAACTTCATAAATCCCCTACTCACTCCCAGCATCTCATCATGACACTCACCAAAATGAACAATAACTGTTCACAAAAGGGTAATTTTCTAACCCAGGCCATTCCAGGGATTTGAATTACAGCAGAGCTTTACAGACAGTTAATTACATTAAAGGTTTTTCTTTGGTTGAAGTTCAGGCTCATACCTGCATGACTGGAGGTCAGAGGAGCCGGTAAGGGAACTGAATATAACTCAGAGTGTAAAAGTCCCCTGAGTCAATACTGTGTGCTGGTTTCTTGCATGTGTAAAAATGGAAATAAAGCATTGTCAAGTTTTCTCCTTCATCGCGCAGCCTTTCTGATGCACAGCCTGTACTGCAAATGAACACGCAGGCCACACGATGTGAAGCACCCCCACTGTGCCTTCGAAAATAGCCTATTCATCCTAAATTAGACAAATCCTTCAGTTTGTTATTGAACTTCATAAATCCCCTACTCACTCCCAGCATCTCATCATGACACACAGTCATCAAAAGCTGGCACAGTTGGAAGGGATATGTGAGCTGGATAACACCTAGGATGCGTGCTCATGGAGAAGGAAGAATTTGAAGGAGAGACGATGCAGATATTTATTACAGGAATCTCCTGCCAGGCTGGAAGACTAACACAGCCAAAAGCATAATGGCATCCGAAAATGCAACAAGTGAGAGAGTAAGGTTGCATGGTGGGCCACTAGGAGCAAGGAACCAGCCTGTGCCTGATAAATGAGGGATGAGAAAGAACTTGAGAGTGAAGACCTGCCTGTATGAGATACTCTCAAGGAGGGA